CTCAGTGAATCATTTAATTAGAGATCACACAGAGTCAGAAAAAGGATTTCAATTCTGTCAAAACCTTCTCTTATCACAAAAAGCCACTTCAGATGTTACATGGCTTAGAAAAATTAATAAATCAAACTCTTTATTAAGTCTTTCTACTTCTCATTTATGAGAAATATCTCCAGCTTACTCTCGTATGGCACAATAGTTGGCCTCTCAGTAGGTCATTATTCAAATCATCTTTATCCAGTGAAGGTTATTTTACAGCAGGAGACGTGTTAAATGTCTTACTAGAGTTTTGTAGAGCAGCCTACACAGGAACCCGGGTCCTAGCGTTTGTCCCTCATCCTTAATGAAGGCATGTGCAAAGAACAAGGAAGTCTCCTTTTACTAGTGATTTCTTTGGAAGAAAAATAAAATATCCTAAAGTGATTGTGATGCAGTTCAGACTGTAAGATCTGGCTGGAGCAAGCTCACCAACGCTGCATTCAAAATGTCTATTATCAGTAACCTTTTGAGCTATGAAACATAAGCCTGCAAAGGAGCAACCAAATGTCCTAGCTTAAACTTCTGGTTATCTAATGAAAAGAGGAATGGTGAAACTCAATATATCAAAGCTTTAAAGGAAGGTTTTTGGACACAAAGCTGCCTCCTCATGCAATACTCTGTGTGTGTGGGGGGGGGGGGGAGAAGATTGGTTTGGATCTTCATTTTTATAACAGTTTCGGACTCACTTCTATCAGTATCTGATATTACAAAATTCGATCCACTCAGTAGGCATGACTGTTATTGCCTTGTTTACACAGAGTAGTCTCTTGACAGCAAATCCGAACCTTGAGAATCTTTTAATCTATTTATTTGGGGTAGTAACTATATTTGAATTATTGGCTTTTCAAGCGTGTCAAAGGACTGAATATGAATAAGGATTCAGTCAAGGAAACAGACTTGAAAAAGAGGTAAAACCAGTGCTTGAAATATGGTGAAAAAGGTTTTTATTATGCTTTGTTTTGTTTTATTTCTTTAAGAATGGCAAAACCATTGAAGTGAAATTTATAACCTGGATATCATTGAGATTTGCAACCCAGTGAAGTTGTCAAAAATATTAAATTATACAGTATGTGCAGACAAGATTGAGAAATTACTTTCTGTCCAAAGATTTGTTTAAGAAACATCAAAGCAGCTAAATTCAATCACATTTATCTTAGTCCAGTATTCTCTTTCATTTTCAGTAAGTTCAAAGAATTAATATTATTGGGAAACATTCAGATAAACCACACAGTAATGCTCCTAATTCTAGCACAAAATCTTCCCGGATCCCAGTTTGTTCAATATTTTATCTGCACACTGGCCTTTTGGAATGAAGATGTGTGTACCTGGGAAGGTTAAGAGATTGGTAGCAACAGAAAGCTTTAGGTCTTGCAGAGTGGTTATAGAACTCGCGGTCCTCCACAGTTACCAGAGAGGACCAGGATGGGTTCCAGATGGGAGCTTAATAAACATAGGATCTTCCTGGAGAGGGAGTTCTCTAGTTGCTGCTTAAAGCATAGTTCTTTGTGTTTGTCCCCACACCTTGTGGTGTCAGAAGAGAGTGAATCCCTCACTAAAGGAGCAGGAAAGGGAAGTGGCCCCCACACTGGTGGAGTGGTGAATGAGTGGGGAAAGTGGAAAATCAGGGAGGAGACCTGTGAAATCAGCAGCAGGAAGGAGGCAGAGCCCTGTCTCAGTGCAGCAATGGAGTCCATAGTGCAAATGGCTCTGCTAGACAAGTTTGATTTTGGTAACCCAAGTACCTGGCCTTGCTGGATCCAGAGATTTGAGTGATTCTGAATGGTTTCTGGTTTTACAGAGAAAGCAGAAGAATACTTGGTAAATGCCTTGATATTTGCCATTGGAGATGCTGCTGCCAACATCCTGTATGCCCTACCCCTCACTGACGAGGAAAAGAAAGAATACAACTAATTGAAAGAGGCTTTTAATGCTCATTTCACAGACAAAAATATTATATATGAAATGACCAAATTTAATAGGAGGTGCCAGAAAGAAGGAGGAGAAACTCAAGTCAATATTTGCAGGATATGGAATTCCTGAAGTCCTCATATCTGATAATGGGGTCAGTTTACCTCTGAAACATTCCTAGCATTTGCACAGATCTCTGATTTTGAACCTCATACTAGCAAGTCCACATTACCCAAGAGACACAAAGGGGCATGCCTTCTAAGGTATCAGAGGAAAGGTGATGATTTGCTGAAAGTCATTTCTCTATCCACATATGTATATCATTAATGTATACGAAGTTATGAGAATTGTGTTGTATGGTTGTCACTAAAACATGCTATAAGTTGGGGAATCAGCCAGATATTAGCTCCACAGGCAACAGCAAGGAAAGTAACCAACACCCAGGCAGGGTGTCAAACAACCCATCGACCAGCATTGTCCAGCAAGGGAGCTACAATTCAATGACTCATGAGGCCACACCAGGGGAATTGCTCAATCTTGCCTGGAGACTTAGCAATGTCCCCCAGACATGCTTGGACTTGTGCTTCCCAAGCACATGGGACTGAAGGTGTAAAACAGAATCCAGTGGCCACATGCTTGGCCTTTCTCCTTCACCCACCTATGCTGCAAGCAAAAAGGACACTCTGAAGACTTGAACTGAGGGGACTGGCCCAGATTTCAAGGGTGAAATCTGTCTACTATGAACTGCAATATCCAGTGGGGGTGAGAAAAACTGCTTAGTCTAGTTGTTGCCCAATCTAATAGGGTTGAGAGTTTAGACTGTGTGCTTATATATTATTTCTGTTGGTAACTGACTTTTTGCCTATCACTTATAGTCACTTAGCATCTATCTTTTGTAGTCAATAAATTTGTTTTACTGTTTATCTTTACCAGAGGGATTGCCTGAAGTGTGTGGTAAATCTGATCAGGTTTTGCAAAGGCTGGTGTATATCCACTTTCCATTGATGAAGTGGTGAACCAATTAATAAATCTGCATTGCTCGCCTTGAACAGTTCAAGACAGTATATTCCTGAGGTGCAAGGCTGGGTGCTGGGGTGATTTGGTTGGTGCCTTTCCCTGTGTGATTCATGAGTGGCTCTGGGAGCATTCATGCAATCTAGCTGGGTGTGGGGTCTCCACATGCAGTTGTGCTGAGTGATAACAGCACCTGGAGGGGTTTGCTGCTGGTCACTAGCAAGGCATAGTGAGACAGCCCAGGTGGAAAGAGTTCAGAGGGCACAGCGGTCCCACAGTCCCAGGCTGTACCCCGGGGATCCCGTCACACCGTATAAAATGCTCCTGACATACCAGTCAACACCACTTGTGTCTGGAACATCTCCAGCAGAACTTCTGATGGGAAGATGACTAAGGATGCTTTTACCTGTGGCACCGTTACAGCTTAAATGTAAGTGGCCTGAAAGAATTTCAAAAATGGAATGATGAAATACAAATTCAGCAGCAACAAAACTTCAATGTTTGGCACAGAACACAAGTGCTACCTTAACTGAGACCAGGGAACAAAGTGTGGACCAAGTGCTCCTAGACATTTGGAACTTCACAGAAACTCCCATATCCCACGTGGAAACTCCACCCCAGCCCAACCCCCATTGCCCACCCTTCTCTCTCTGATTTCAGAACCAGCACCTCAGAATTTCTGTGTTGTAATTCCATGCCAGCCCAAACACATGCTTCTTGCAGTAGAAGCTCTGTAATAAAGTTATTTGAACAGCAGCAGGTGCCAGTGATTAGTCACTCAAATGTAACATTCCATCGTTTTACTGGAATGTAGCAGTGGTGAGTTTGGAGTGTATTTTAGTCAGAAGCGAATCTTTCAGTCAATAAAATGGAGAAATTTTTAACCTGCCTTTTTGCAAGTAGCAGTAGGGTGACCAGATGTCCCAATTTTATAGGGACAGTCCTGATATTCGGAGCTTTGTCTTATTTATTTAGCGAGCGCATAGTCATCTATGGCAATTGCATCTTCAGTGGCATGATGCAGTTCTTCTAGGCCACCGCTGAACCTAGTCAGCAGGTGTATTACCAATGATTTGTACCAAACTACAGCCAAATTGCCACCCCACTGACAGACCTGACCAGGAAAAAACAACCAAATGCAGTTCATTGGACTGAGAAGTGTCAGAAAACCTTTAACCAGTTTAAGGCGGCCTTTATATCTGACCCTGTACTGAGGGCCCCGAACTTCAACCAACCGTTCATTGTAACCACAGATGGGTCTGAGTGTGGTGTGGGAGCAGTTTTAATGCAGGAAGGACCGGATCAACAATTCCATCCTGTTGTGTTTCTCAGCAAAAAACTTTCTGAGAGAGAAAGCCACTGGTCAGTCTCAGAAAAAGAATGTTACGCCATTGCGGATGCTCTGGAGAAGCTACGCCCATACATTTGGGGATGGCGGTTCCACCTGCAGACTGACCATGCTGCTCTGAAGTGGCTTCACACAGTCAAGGAGACTAACAAAAAAACTTCTTCGCTCTCCAATACTTTGATTTTAAAATACAACACATTTCAGGAGCCTCTAACAAAGTGGCTGATGCACTCTTCTGGGAAGATTTCCCAGAATCAGCCGGGTAAAAATGTCCCTGCATTCTAAGTCACTATAGTCCTTGAAATGTAAAAAGTACTGTTTAGTTCTTCATGTAATTATTAGTAAAATTAGAGGTGCATGTATCTTATTAACTCTGTTTCCTAAACCTCCAGGAAGAAATCCCAGACGGTGTGGACCCAACCTGAACCAGGCTGGCCAGCACCATCTGTGATTTGGGGGTGTGTGTGTGTGTGATAAATAAAAGGGGACAATAGCTCCCTTTGATGGACACTCAGCCAGCCAGTTAGCTGTAAAATCCCTCTTGGTAACTGTTCTTTACTTGCTTTACCTGTAAAGGGTTAAAAAGTCCCCCAGGTAAAGAAAAAAAAAGTGAGCACCTGACCAAAAGAGCCAATAGGAAGGTAGAACTTTTTAAAATTGGGAAAAAAACGTTCCCTTTGTCTGTTGTTCTCTGGGCTGGAGGGACAGAGCAGCCATGCTATAAGCAGCTTAAGCCAGGTATGATCATAAATCATCAGCTCATACTACTTATCTGAACTCCAAATGTGTAAGTAGATCAGAATGTTTAGCTAGATGCAATTAGGATTATTTCTTTTATTTCTTATTGGCTTGTGGACTCCTCTGTGCTAACCCCAGATGCTTTTGTTTGCTTGTAACCTTTAAGCTGAACCCCTAAGAAAGCTATTTTGGGTGCTTGATTTTTGGAATTGCTTTTTTAAAATCTAGCAAAAGCCTAAGTTCCAAATGTATTTTCTTTTTGTTTTTTTGTTTTTAATAAAATTTACCTTTTTTAGGAACAGGATTGGATTTTTGGTGTCCTAAGAGGTTTGTTTGTGCATGTTGTTTGATTAGCTGGTAGCCACAGCTAATTTTCTTTGTTTTCTTTCTCAGCTCTTACCCGGGGGGGGAGGGGTGTGTGTGAAAAGGCTTGAGGGAGGAATTCCCAAGTGCTCCTTCCTGGGCTCAAAGGGGTTTTTTTTGCATTTGGGTGGTGGCAGCGTTTACCAAGTCAAGGTCAGAGAAAAGCTGTAACCTTGGGAGTTTAATACACAGGGCCGCCCAGAGTGGGGGGCAAGTGGGGCAATTTGCCCCAGGCCCTGCAGGGGCCCCCACGAGAATATAGTATTGCAACTTTTTTTATGGAAGGAGCCCCCGAAATTGCTTTGCCCCAGACCCCCTGAATCCTCTGGGTGGCCCTGTGAATACAAGACTGGAGTGGCTAGTATTAATTTTTAAAATCCTTGCAGGCCCCACTTCTGCACTTGGAGTGACAGAGGTGGGATTCAACCTTGACAGCAGGCATTTATTGATAATGTGCATCGTCTGTGTTGTGCTGCAGCTGCACAAAGGGCTGTCACAAAGGCCCCAGCGATACTGGTTGGCTGCACAGAGACCTTGCCCGGTCCAGCACCTGTTCAACAGGGACAACTGGCGATGGGGCAGGTCAAAACCAGGCAGGCAAATTGTGGGGTAAGCGACGAGGGACTGGTTGGGGATTATAACAGATATCCATTCCTCTCACCAGAGTGTTTCCGCCCTAACATCCTGGCGTGGCGGATGAGACCATAATGGGCGACGTGGCAGCAAACATGAGGCTGGTGCTTTAAAAAGGTCATTGTGCAGCGGTAGGCTTGAATTGGTGCTTACTTTCTCCAGTAACTTGCCAGTGACAACCTCTCATCTGATATGAGGAGGAGCAACGTTGCTCAGACCTGGAAGTCATGGGAGTGGAGTCGGACGCAGGGTGCCAGAGATGATACGCATGATGGCACGTAACTGCGTATCCACCAGTTTGGTGTGTGACGATCGACTCCAAACTGGTGTGCAGTACTCAGTCACCGAATATGAGGTAGCAAGAGCTGACGTCCAGAAAGTTGAAGCATGAGCACCCCATGGTAAACCGGCCAGTTTGCTAACAAGATTGTTGTGCGTCTTAACTTTAGCTGCTGTCTTCTTCAGGTGGGCATGTAACTCAGTGTGCGGTCTAAGGTCACACCTAGATAGACCGGTTCTACTTCATGCTTCACCTTCTGACCATTCAGATAAACATTCAGTTCTTGGGTTGCGCTGGTGTGATGAAGATGGAACAAACTGGAGACTGTTTTTATGACGCTTGGCTGCAGGCGCCAAGTCTTACAGTAGTCAGATAACTTTATCATGTCCCCATTTAAGGTGGCATCAAGCTTGTGGAACGTCTGGGCCTGGGTACCGGAACAGATGTTGTCTGCGTAAATGAACTTTCGTGACTCCGTTGTTGGCAGGTGACTGATGTAAAGGTTGAACAGGGTTGGAGAAAGCACAGAGCCCTGGGATACCCCATTGCTCTGTCATCTCCAAGCACTCATCTTCTCCCCCATATGGACTCTGAATGGTCTATTGTGGAGGAACAGTTCAATGACACCTGTTACCCAAGGTAGCAGGACCCTTGATACCTTCACAAGCAGGCCAGTGTGCCATACTGTATCACACGCCGCTGTTAGGTCAATGAAAACAGCACCTGTTTTCAAGTTTCTCTGGAAGCCATTTTCAACAAATGTGGTCAGTGCGAGTACTTGGTCGCATGTGATATGGCCTCAGCAAAAGCCTTGGTCAGGGCTCAAAATTCTCTCCATGTTGGGTAATATGCACTGTAGGACCAAGCGCTCCAGTGGCTTGAAGCACACTGATAATAATGATATGGGACAATAGCTTGATGCTTGACTTGGGTCCTTTCCAGGCTTTAGGAGGCCAATGACTTTTGCGGTGCACCGTATCTTCGGTAGCCTACCTTCACTGATGACCCCGGTGAAGAATTTCACAAGCCAAAGCCGAAAACAGGGGCCAAGGTTTTTCAGGAATTCTGGAGATATGTTGTCAGCAGCCTGCAGCTGTTCCACACTTGATGCTACCCAGTGTCTGTTCCAGCTCTGTTACAGTGAATGGTTCTAGGCAGCTTCTGATCTGGTGTACATGTTTACACATATGCCATTCGTTCCTCACTTGTCTTCTCACCTGTTTCTCCAAAGGTGCGCTGGCCACTTTAAATAGGTGTCCAGCTACCTGGTTGGATGTCACTGAGGGTTGGCAGAGTACAGGTGGCTGCTGCACTGCTCTAAGGCATCGGAGCAGACTACAACACATGCAGCTGGAGCAAGTAAAGCTCATCCTCTCAGTTGTCTCCTCCCATCTGGCTCGGCAAGCAGTGTCCAATGATTCGATCAGATGGTCAGCGACATCTGAGTCACCAGATGCCTCATACTGCAAGCAAGGCAATGCTCTCCTCTTCGAGACAGGGGATGTAGACCAGGCTGCAACCGTGTGGGATGGCTCTGCAGGCTGCTTTGTAGATAGCACCATGAGCAATGGTGGTCTCATTAACCAAGATATGCCGGGCTGGTATTGTCACCACACCCTTCTCCAGCACTTCCTGATATTTTCCCCAGTCGGCCTTTCGGAAGTTCCACCGCTTCTTTTTGGAACTCTTGACAACTCGGAGCTGTAGCCCGATATGGATCAGCGACGGTCTGTGTTGGCTGTGTGGAAAGTTATCCAAGTCTTGGCATGTTGCTGGCTGAGGATAACCATGAACTGAACTGACCCAGCATAAGTCAGGAGAATGGAACATGCCTCGTTGCTTAGAATCATAGATAAGGGCAAGGTCGTTTTGAGATGCCCGGTCTACAAGTTGTTCACCGTGTATGTCAACCTCCTTATACCATCAGTCGGTGTGATAGCTGTTGAAATCTCCGACATAGACAGCTGGGTGTGGCAGGCTTGGTAGCACCTGTTGGTTCCAGCTGACGCTTGGAGACTTGTAAACATTTGCCGGCCAGAAACTGCCAATCTGGATGGGTTACAGAATTCAATAGACATCAGCTGAATGGCACCTGCAATGTGGGGCTCAGCCGTGCTTTGGGTGTGCCACATGGCACAACAGGTTGAAGCTGCCAATACTGTAATGCCCGGCTTCAGCAGTTGCTACGTGTGTCTCCTGCAAGCAAATGATTTCAATAGTATGTCAATGAGCAAGAATGCCGAGTAAATCACACTTGGCAAACGACAAACCCTCCATGTTGAGTTGTAACGTGCGTAGAGCTGGACCAATGACATAGAAGTCACCGGGCTGCACATTGGGGTTGTCGGTGACGATAGTGCCAGGATTTGTTTAGCTGGTGCTCGTGGAATTCGGCTCACTGGTTGGATCATTAGCTTCCCTGACTGCTGTCAGGTACTGGTGGGTGGGGCGATGAGGACACTGATCCATTGCCTTATTTAGGAGCCTATTACCACCCACCCCACCCCGATTTTTCACACTTGCTATCTGGCCACCCTAAGTAGCAGTGATAGTGAAAATTATTCACAATGTGAGAAGGGAAGTAATCATAGGTATGATCCCACTTGCTTAAATTTTGGCTTATTGTTTATTGAGGATCGACAGGGTGAATGCAGGTCACAGTTTATCATCTGCAGGGAATTGTTAACTAACAAAAACCTAAAACCATCAAAATTACACAGGCATTTGGAGAGAAAACACCCAAGCTATAAAGACAAGCCAATTTATGTTTTTCAATGAAAATCCAAAGATTTGGAAATGTCACCAAAAAATCTTAAATGTGGCTATACTGTCCAAGAGCAAGCATTACATGCCTCTTACCTTTCTGCATTCTACATTGCCAAACATAAACAAACTCATCTAGTCGCTGAGGAGTTAATTTTACCTTCTGCTATTGACATATGCACTGAATTGTTGGGGGAGTCAGCTGCTAAAAAGTTAAAAACAGTTCTTCTTTCCAAAGATATAATGAGGAGAGGAATCCGTGCTATTTCAGAAGACATCCAATAGCAAACAACTGACCATCTTTCAGTAAGTGATTATTTGACTTTACAATTAGACAAATCTACAGATATAGCAAACCGTGCCATTTTGCTGGCTAATGTGAGGCATGTATAGGATGGTGGGATTCAAGAACAATACCTATTTAGTGCAGATATGCCTACTTCTGCTACTGCTGTTGATATATTTGGTGCACTGAATAATTATATGCAGTAGGTGACATTGAGCCGGACAAAGTGGGGTATTACAACTGATGGAGATGCTTCAATGATAGGACAACATTTGGGAGTTGTGCAAAGAATCCTTTTAAAAGCACCCATTGCACCATGGAACCACTGTTTCCTGCACAGAGAGATGTTATCAGCTAAAGATGTGATACCTGAGCTTCACAAAACTCTTAAAGGTGTTGGGAAAATTGTAAATTATATTAAAAACTATGTCAAGAATTCCCAGTGCATTCAGGTTTTTCTGTCAGGACATGGGCAGTGTGTGTCCATCTGCTTTTCCATGCTGAGGTTCATTGGTTGTCCCATGGCAAAGTTTTGTCTCATGTATACAAACTGACAAATGAGTTGGCAGCTTTTCTTGAAGGAAAAAAGTCTCACCTGGCAGAACACTTCAGTAATGAGACATGACGTGCTCACGTTGCATTTCTTGTAGATATATTTGAACAAATATTCAATTAGAATTATTTGAATCTGTTTTTACTGGGCAGAGGGCACAATCACTTTAAGCAAACTGACAAAATTGATTGTTGAATGCAGAGTTGTTGTAGCTGTGTTGGTCCCAGGATACTAGAGAGACAAGGTGGGTGAGGTAATATTTTTTATTGGACCAACTTCTGTTGGTGAGAGAGACAAATTTTCAAGCTTACATAGACCTGAAGGAGAGCTTAGTGTGACTCGAAAGCTTGTCTCTCTCACCAACAGAAGTTGGTCCAATAAAAGATATGACCTCATCCATCTTGTCTCACCCAGATTTAACATTTTAGCCTTGACCTGATTTAGTCTTATCTAATTGAACTTCCATTTTGTGTGTGCTGTTGTTTGGGATGCTGCTGTATTTCTCTTTACCTACAATAGGAAGTAATTGTGCTCTCTCAGATGTTATGGTTTGTTGACTTTAATTCGGCAATCACTGAACATATAGTATTTACGTTAGTTGACTTGTTTTAGTGAGGCACAGAATTATTGACTATAGCTGGGCAGGAAACTTTTCCCATCCTTCAAACATTGTCAAGACTTAGAAAAATTTTCCTGGCTCAAATTGGTATGAAAAGTCAAAATCTCAAAATCATTTGTGAACCAATCAACCAACCAACCAAAAAAACATTTTCAGTTCAGGCCAAGTGAAACATTTCATTTAGATTTTCACCTTTTTTCTCTTTTAAAAAATCTAATTAGCTGACACTTCAGAACCAAAAGTCATCTCAAATAAGAAAGCCAGAACGGTTCATTTTGAAAATGTCAGAACAAAATATTTTAACTGTTTCAAAACTTAACTTTTTTGAATCAGGAGACTTGTCAAATCCAAACCTGTTTTGTGAACCGTTTGTTTCAATGAATCAGCATTTTTTGAGAAAAAATATTCATAGAAAAATTTCCAACAAGCTCTACAATTGGCATTTGCCAATCTGCATTTTTTAATTTTAAATATGTATTAAAAAGTGATCAATAGAACCCTACACTCCAATACATCCCAAAGTCTTTAAATGATGATGAGACTTATTATAGTGTGTTCCATAATGACTGACCACATCACCAACTGTGGCACAAATGAGATAATGGTGAAGTGCGTTCACCTTGCTCTATCAGTAGAAGTAGCCATACTTTGTAACACAACATATAAAAGTGAAAAGGTAGTGTGCACCAAGAATCAGCATTTTACTACAGATGTTTCTTCCATGCTGAAGATTTGTTAAATTATCTCCCTAGAAGTACAAGATAGATTTCTCCAGTACAGACAATGGAGGAAGTGAGAACTACTGGCCAAAAAGGTAAGTCCTGTAGAAAATGGTTTGTAATAAAACTCAAAATGTTTTGTTTTCAAGTGTAACATTTAAAAAAAAATTGAAGAAAAATCTGAAACGAAAACTCGTTTGACTCAAAAAAATTGAAAAGTTTCATTTAGAAAATATCTAAATGAAACGTTTGGATTTTTTCTGGAATCCCACGTACCCCCCGACAAACAATGGAGCAAATTCTGTATTTTTTTTTGGTTAAAAGGTTTCATACAAAATACTTTGCCAAGCTCTACTTGCCATTTCATGTATCCATTAAGCATAGGGTGACCAGATAGCAAGTGTGAAAAATCAGGACAAAGTATGGGGGGGAGGGGGTAATAGGCGCCTATATCAGAAAACGCCCTGAATATCGGGACTATCCCTATAAAATGGGGACATCTGGTCACCCTAGTTAAGCACTATGCACAACTATAGCATTGTATAACAATTGTGCATTTATCCCTGGCAGGGAAGCACTGATCTAGGGAACTGGGGTCAGATTTCTCTGGTCCAGCTAACAGCACTAAGAGCAGGACTAGAGGGGGCAGGAAGGTCAAAGATGGCCATCAGCCAATTTTGCATTTCCCTACTCCTGGGGCTGCAGGGGAAGGGGCTAGTCCCTAATGTATGTTAGAGCGACCTTCCGGAGGCTGCAGCAGCACCCCGGCCATGCCCCCTTCCCCCTAGACACACTTCTTTGCCACGGTTCAGGAGGGTAGCATTGGAGCCATTGCACAGCAGCCACAAACCAGAGGAGGATTCCCCACTGCAGAGAAAACTTCCAGTGCCTGGTTTGACTAGGGCTACGGGCTTCAGATTAATGAAGCTGATTTCTTGTGAAGTAATTTTGTAAAGGTGCACAATACTTTTAATAAATGTGTTAGCATCTGAATGAGAAAATCTGTATTTGTTTCTCTTTTTATATGAGTAAGAGGGCAGCCATCCAGTAATCTGATTGGCTGGCACAGTTTCCATTTGGTTGCAGGGATAAAATACAAAACATTTATGTGCACAAAAACAAATGGTAAAATCTAGAAACCATACCTGGTCGGTAGTAATGTTACAAACTTGAATATTTGTTCTGTCACATGTTATTTTTGCAGAACACTGGCAGATTCTGCCACTCATGTGAATAAGTATTAACTACCTGCAAAATTATCATTGATTCCAAAGGATTGATTTTTCTACACAACAGTAACACATTAAATTTTTATTTTTTTAAAAAGAACAAACTGCTCAGTAGCCGAAAGTAAATTATTCCAGCAAGTTGACCATTTTAAGAGCTATTTAGAGATGTGAATTCTCAGCAGTTTGAAGCAGTCGATTTTTCCCCTTATTGTTTGAACTTTATCCTAAATGTCGTGTTTTATATTTGAATGGTTATTTTATGTATCTCAAAACCTCATACAGTAAAGCAAAAACTTTATTACAATAAGACCTTATAGCAGAGTATTTGTCTACACAACAAATGAAAGAATGTAATAAGCATTAAAAGACACACTAAAATAACACTGAGTGCCTAACAAACTTACAAAGGAAATTCAGAGCTAAGGTCACTGGTTCTATTCTTCTCATCTCATCCTATTACGGTCAGATTCTGATCTTGTTTACACTGAAGAAAACCCCTAGTAACTTCAGAGTTTATTGAAGTTATTCTGTATTTTTATGCATATGGCTGGCATTCCATACGCACTGAAATGCTATTATACATGGTGTTTGTGCCCAGTTACCATGGGCTTCTGCAATCAGAACAAAGGGCTGGAAATTCAGAGGTTCAACAGAGCACTGCTTGGCGGGGAAGATGGCGCTAATTCACCTTTCTGTCCCCATCTTAAATCAGAAGCATCTTCTGGCTGGGGATCACTGGAGTGTAGTGCACTCAGCACATCTCAGATGCTGGCAGAGCACTGGGAGGCAGTGGTGTAGAGCCAGCAACACCAACCTAAGGTTTCCAGAGGATTCCCCAGCTGTCCCTTTGGTGCAACTTTCTGACTACTTTGGGCTTCCTGAGCTGCACAAAGCAGCTGGGAGGCCAAGGATCTGGATCATAGTTTCAGTAGCAAGGTCCATAATGCATCACATTGCATGTGTACTCACACAGCACTCACTAAACTACAAAGTCCTTCATTAGCATGCACTTGGTTCAGAAATTTCTCTGTGTGGTGGTGTTCCAATTCAGGGATTTGACCGAAGCTTATCTCTCGTTATGACACCTTCGCTCACCAGGTAGTGAGGACGAAATTAACTTCCCAGTGGTGCATGCACAGTTACACCACAGAGATTTCTGAGTTATTGCAAAGAATAATTGTGAGGAAAAGAGAAAGTTACTTACCTGTTAGTCTGCTTCTTTGAAGATCTGATCCCAAAGGATTCTTGCTCGTGGGCCCTGTGTTCCCTAATGAAATGACACTATTACTTGACCCTACAAGGCAGGCACAGTGGGGAGCAGCATGTTAGAACCTTCCTTCAGACTGGTGGGTGCTCATCACCAATGGCCACATCCTACCAGAGCCCTCAGGGTCTTCCCCCCCTTGCTCTCATCTTTTATTTCCTGGATCAACTTTCCTCCTTATACTGCCTTCTCCACATTCCCTCCTATTGTTTGCTCCACTCACTTCTTTCACCTTGATTCAAATTAGATTGTAAGGTTCTTCAGAGTGGTGACCATATTTTCCTATGTGTTTACACTACTCCGAGCACAACTACTGTCTGACCCTGACTGGAACTTGGTGGCACCCTACCACAATTCTGCCACTACACTAAGGCACTGAGTCACCGAGGAGTCACTGCTGCATAAAGACAGAGCAAATGCTCCAGGCTGTTCCATCACGAACCAAACTGAGAGAAAAAGAGGGTAGATTTTCTTTTTTTTAAGGGATGAATTTCAAGGCTTTTCCTCTGCGCTGAAGATTAGGAAGGTGGTTGCTCTGGAGACCCCGTCTGTGTAACTGTCAGGATGCAGAATAAAACTCGCAGTTTCCTGTGATAAACTGCTTTTGCCTTGTCTTCTAAACTGCAGTAACAGGGGGGAAAATCACTGTTACCAGTAGCAAACCTGTCTATGAAGGAGAACCACTAGAGTTAGATGATTCCAAATGGCATAACACCATTGGATTCTGGCCGTTCTTGAGATAGAGGCCACTAAAATCACATCAGAATTCAATTGGGAGGGGGGAAAGCATGATAGTAGTTACAATTACATGATTTAAGATCAGAGATTTCAAGCACTGTAAATAATTTCAATACACCTCTACCTTGATATAACGCTGTCCTCGGGAGCCAAAAAATCTTACTGCGTTATAGGTGAAACCACGTTATATCGAACTTGCTTTGATCCACCGGAGTGCACAGCCCCGCCCCCCCCCCCCGGAGCACTGCTTTACCGCGTTATATCCGAATTCGTGTTATATCGGGTCATGTAATATCGGGGTAGAAGTGTACTTGTTTATAGTTTGGGTGAGGGTGTGTGTGACACTGGACCCCCAAAATGTCACTGGTGTCTTGGTGCAGCCAGCATTTCTTTGGCGTGGGTCCGGGATCCTCATGCCAGATCCTCAGCTGGTGAAATCAAAGTAGCTCCATTGAAGTCAGTGTAGCTGTGACAAATTATATGAGTTAAGGTCTAATTCACTGATGCAAAACTTTCAACCCCTTAATGAATTGTGTACAAGTTAGAAAAACTTTGAGGAGTGTTTTAATAAAAATGTGTTTTTCCAATCTTCAGTATTTACAATTTATACAGATCTATTTAATGCAATAACCTTAATCTCTCTTCACAGAATAGTTCTGTGCAGAACATTTAGTCAACATTTAATTTATCAGAATATCGTAGTTTAATGGCTTCTGAACTCAATTTGTCTGTTTTATTCTGATCAAATATATGGGAAAATGTAGAGGGAAAATATTTCAGTTGAACTATATTCCTGCTATGAGAATTTGAGGGGGAAAAAAGCTTTTGATATCATAACATCCATTGCTTTCATGGTGAACAAACAGTTCATAGTTGGGTGGTGTTTTGTTTTTTTGCTATACTGTGAATGGAGGTTACTTACCTATAGTCATAGTTCTGTGCATTCACACTCATGGGATGCACTGACAAATACTGCTCAGACGTTGGAACCTTCTCACAGCAGTGCTCATTGGCGTACTCATGCATCCCCACCCTCTCTCTTCTCCCCTCTGTGTTCCTGAACGTTCTGAAGATGAGGCACCCTCTACTCCCTCAGTTCTTTCCACCATCTCCCCACAATCAAGATTCCATTAGGACTCTGAGGAAGATGGAAAGGTGGTCAGGAAGTGTGAATAGGCAGAATCCATCTCTAAGAACTCCGGTTACAGGTAAGTAACCTTCATTTCTGCTGCATATTCCCACTCAAGACAGTTTATCAAGCAGTATTCCATAAATGGACGGTGAGACTTGGAGTCCTAACTGAATAAGGATTGAAGTACTGCCCTGAAAATTAAGCATCCGATGTAGAAGCTAGGTCTAGGAAGTAATTTTTTGTAAATGTAAGTATAGAGCCCCAAATAGCAACCCCGCAGATGTCTGCAGTTGGAACAACAGGGCCTTCCAGACCATGGCAGAATCTGCCAATCATGCCAGTAACCAAACTCAGGCTCCATATCTGTCATATCTGGAAGGGTGTGATGATCTGTAGGCACCATATTTCGAGGTGCATTCCTTCTTCTGATAATGGAACCTGGAGGTATCTGCAACGTCTAGCATACTTTTATTCTTCCTTGGACTGCAGATCTAACCTAGAGCCGGTCTTGGGTACAACACAGAAGTAAGTGGGGAAACTACAGGACCTGCATATGCAAAACAGAAAAGCAAACAAATGTTACTGACCTCCTCCTTTTCCCTGGTGGGGACACTTCAGAAGGACAAGTAGCAGGAGCATTCCTTTTACTCTCTTAGGCAAGTAGACACTATTTGCCTCTTGCAAATCTGGTAACTGATCTGATTGTGAATCGATGTCATGCAATTGTGCTACCATAGTAAGGGTTGGTGCCATGTGAACAGTGGATAAAGAAACTACTGCCAACTCTAGCACAACTTTCAGATCCAAGGAAACTTTTTAGGCAAGTTTTAGGCAAAATTTGCAAATGACACCAAGCTGGGTGGGGTTGCAAGCCCTTTGGCGGACAGGATGAGAATCCAAAATGACGATGACAAATTGGAGAATTGGTCTAAATTCAACACAATGAAATTTCAATAAAAGAGAAGTACAAAGTACTTCACTTAGGACGGAAAAATCAAACACACAACTACAAAATGGGGAATAACTGGCTAGGTGGTAGTACTGCTGAAAAGGATCTGGGGGTTATAGTAAAAATTGAATATGCGTCAACAATGTGACACAGGTGCGAAAAAGGCTAATATTGTGATGGGGTGTATGAACTGGACTGTAGTATGTATGACCCAGGATGTAACTGTCCCACTCTGCTTGGCACTGGTGAGGTCTGAGTTGGAGTACTGTGCCCAATTCTGGAGGCCACACTTTAGGAAAGATGCAAATTGGAGAGAGTCCAGAGGAGAGCAACAAAAATGATAAAAGGTTTAGAAAACCTAATCTATGAAGAAAGGTTAAAAAAACAGGGCATGTTTAGTCTTGAGAAAAGAAGACAGAGTGGATCTGATGAACAGTTTTCAACTATGTTAAAGACTGTTATAAAGAAGATGGTAATCAATAGTTCTCTACGTCCGAAGGTATGACAAGAAGTAATGGGCTTAATCTGCAGCAAGGGAGATATAGGTTTGATATTAGGAAAATCTTTCTAGCTCTAAGGGTAGTTAAGTCTGGAATACGCTTCCAAGACGGGTTGTGGAATCCCCAATATTGGTGGTTTGTAAGAATAGGTTGGACAAGCACATGTCAGGGATGGTCTGTTTATTTGGCTGGACTTGATGACTTTTTGTGGTCTCTTCCAGTCCTACATTTCTATTAGTTTATGATTCACCCTAAGCCTGAACCTTAGTCTTTGGTTTAGGATCTGATATTCTTGGATCCAGGTCATATGGATCTGAGGCATCTCCTGAATGTGACTTATTCTTGCAAGCAGGAGCCTTCTTGTCTTGCACAAACTTTCTCAGAACCGAAGTAGATGGAGCTGAAGGTTTCTCCCGTGGTTTGGCTCTTCCTGCAGAGGCTGGTATCAACCAAATATCTGAGCACTATTAGTGTCAAATCCAATAATTTGGATACTGATTGCACCGAAACACTGAAACTGATCCTGGGAAAGAGATCACAGTATTATACATATTGCTCTTCTTTTTAATCCCCCAGGTGCTAAAAGCAGACACTGGTATTTTCACCTGGAGTACAGATCTCATATGTATCGGATCCAGGACACTTCATAGCCAGAACTTCCTGCAGCAATAAGGCTTGCAGCCTGTTCTGGGTCTCCTTGAGCACGCTGGGGGTAAATGTGCTGCAGACAGACCAGCATGAGGGACAGCGACCCTCTCTGACGCATGCCAAGCATCTACTATGGGCATCCTGATCCTGGGAAAACGGCCGGACAAGAGATGCACCTACCTTTTGAAGCCAGGTCTCTTAGGTTATGTCTACACTGCATTTTAAAAAACAGGGAATTGTATCTCAGGGTACATCTACACTACCCGCTGGATCGGCGGGTAGCCATCGATCAATCGGGGATCGATTTATTGCGTGTAGAGTAGACGTGATAAATCAATCCCCGATCGCTTTCCCATCGACTGCTGAACTCCAGCTTGGTGAGAGGTGGAAGCAAAGTCGACGGGGGAGCCGCAGCAATCGACCCCGCGCCATGAGGACGTGAAGTAAGTCGAACTAAGATATGTCGACTTCAGCTACCCTATTCTCGTAGCTGAAGTTGCGTATCATAGGTCGATTCCCGCCCCCCCCAGTGTAGACCAGGCCTCAGAACCTGGGCTGACACTACAGCACTAAAACCAGCAGTGTAGACACTGCGGCTTGGGCTGGAGCTCGGACTCTGAAACCCACTCCCCCATCCTGAGCTTCAGAGCCTGAGCGTCTACACAGCTGCTTTTAGTGCTGTGAGCTCAAGTCTGTAGACTGGGGCACTGAGACTCACTGCTGCGAGTTTTAAAAAAAGAACCAGGAGTGAGAATTGAAGACATATCTACTATCTATGCTAAGAGTAAAACCTTTTTTCCTTAAATAAGTTTACCACTAAAACTAATAATGAAAACTACACTAAAAGTAAAACTACACTAAACAAAGGCACTAAATTGTTCTTGAGTGAAGGCTCCAGATCCAATTGGATCCAGAGAGGCTAATATCCATCTGCTGCTGCATTTGGAAGGAACTGAGGCAGCAGAGGGTGCCACTCCCCCTTCTATAACCTCACCTCCAGAATGTTCAGGAAGGAAGAGGGAAGGGATAGCAGGGTGCACAAGTGCTCTGACAAGCACTGCTATGAGCAGGTTCCACCTCTTGAGCTGCACCAGCTAGCACACCCTGTGAGTTGGAATATGCATCCAAAGAAGCAGTGTCACAGAGAGAAATAGTGTGAAGGTATCTGGAACACAAGACGACAAGGTTTAATTTGGGGAGCTTATTTATTTTACTGGCTTAACACAATATAGGAAGATGGAACATATACTACTGCAAAACACTCAAAGCCTACATAAAATTATTCAGTGTTTCATGCATCCCCAAATATGTATTAATTAGGATCCAGTGAGAATTTAACTGGAGTGGGGGAATACTGAAATTGGTTTGGTCTTTTTGTACAGTAGACATTTAAAATAATTAATTAATAATGTAATGTATGTTAGCACATTATAAAAAGTTATTCTGATTCACCAATTCTTCAGTTCCCTCTCAGGCAGTAGGAAGGGAAAACTCTGCTTTAAAAAAATATTTATCATAGCCAAGAGCTATATCACTTATTGGCTCTCTGGGAATGCTTATGCATAGGCTTTCTAGCCCAGAGTTGAACCTCTGACCTCTGCAAATCATGTAAAATTCTTCTGTTTGAATCTTGAATATTGGTCGAGTACCCCGTTGTTGGCAATGGGATGGGTGGATATCATAAGCATAAATAATCAGACCACTATCACAAGTAAATGAACGTCCATTCTTTTAAACCATTGACTTTATTAAAATACTTAATACATAGTTTGCAGAGGAACGTACTGACATTTTCTGAGAACTCCATTGAAAGCAAAACGTAACTGTACATGTACTATTTAACAAACAACAACTTAGAGGATGGGTTCATACTCTATATCCTAAGAGCAGACAGTTGAGTTTTTTTCAGGTTTTTTGGCACAGGCTCTTCCTTGCCCCCTATCTCAGAATATCCAGTAGAAGAGAGCAGGGTCTCATATGTCTTACAAACAAACAAACAAAACCAAACAAACGAACAAAACCAAACAAACGAACAAACAAAAACCAACCAACCAAACACTGGTCCAAGTGGAATTCCATTGTTTTCATCTGCTTCTTCACTCTACTCTTCCCTTCCCAGTACTTTTTTTTTTTTAAAAACGTTTGTCCAGAAAACCTAAGATGATCAGCCTCTTTCAAAGGCTACAGAGCTGCAGTGCAGGAAGAACTTCAAGTCAAATCTGAGCAGAGATCTCCCAAACCATCAGATCATCTCTCAATGTCTTTACAATTCCTTCAATATACCAATTTTAAAAATTGAGTGGAAAAAAAAGTAACGTCAAAATATGCAAAGAGTAACAGTGCATTCGTGAACTGTGTGGAATGCACGTTGAGGGCAGGCTACAATGCACTAAAGAAAATGACAAATTATAAACTTTAAAATTCTGTTGAAATAAAGAGGTGGAGGGTGGGAAGGAAAAGAGAGGAAATAATCTGGATAAATATTTAAAACAAAATGCTCTTTTCACATATCTCATTCTCAGTTAAAAGGTTGCAATTACCATAGACATTTAAACAGCACTAGAGATTGTTGATAAAATATATGTCATGACTTAACTCAATGGTAGGGCTGTAAGTCTGGGGAAAAATACAACAAAAACTATGTGGAAAAGAAATGTACTGCGTGTTTCCATGAAGGATGAATTGAGGTTGCATAGGTTTTCACATGAAATTTATAAGGTTGTTTTGGGGAGATAATTTTTCAACCTTGCATAGGAGATATATCTGTTATAAAGACAATACACGGAAAGTTTGTATGGTTGAAACATGAGCTTTGATGAACACACTTTTTCCTCAAGTTTTACTGCAGCAAAAAAAGCAACTTTTTAAACCTCTTCAATGCCCTAACACATATATGGAGTATCCCAGGAAAGAGACATTAGGATTACCATGTGAATGATACAGTGTATATTTATACACATTGAAACAATTGGAGGAACCCCCCACAAAGCATAGCCCTAAAATTTCCATATAGAAAAAAATACTGCATGAGTTAACTTTATTTACAAACATTAAAACTCATTTAAATATAAACTATTTTGGATCATTTATTATATCAAATGAAATTATGTTAGTTAACCAGACTGTTGAATGAATGGATCACCCATATTTATACTTATACTTATTTATCAATAACTGTATAGCCAAATACCAGCTTATTAACTGTGCAGAAAACTTTTAAAACTGCATTTTTATAATTACTTTTGTTTCTAGTCAGAGCAATGCCTCCATATGTCTGTTAGAATGCAGCTTTTCCATCTTAATTGAGCGAACAACTTCCAATTGTACTGCAGCAAGGGCCATTAGGATATTTGTTTCATCATTGGGTATAACAGAAATAAAGTCAGCGGATTAGAATCCTGTCACAGGACAACTGATTGCTGCTTTGAAAATTAACGGCTTGGTATTCAGCATGTTAATTTCCACCAATAAATGTCTTGCCTTTGCCCTGCTTTTATCTAAAAACAGGAGGCCCTTTTCCTGTGACAGGGCTCTATTCCATTGGCATTACCTCCTCATCAAAGATGCTGGCTGGCATTTCTTTTGCCATTTTGCACCTGGATCTAAGACATCATCATTAGTACTGGGTATTACTCTTGCATATCACAGTGAGGTGTACCTTTACATATTATTTATAATGGATTCACTGTGGAGAACTAAACCCTGTATTAGAAACTGTCTCAAAATAGAGACCTTAATACTAAGGATTTCACGTGTGTTCCTTATCTACAGATAAACTTAAAATGCAGAGCTAAAATTGACCCACCAGACATTAGGTGTGTGACTTCAAATAATGAAACGAAAACAAAACCAACCCCCCACGACCACCCAGCACATTTCCTTTAGAAAGGATACTATTTACAACAATAAAGATTCAGTTCTTTAATATTTTAACAAAAAACCCATCTAATTTTAAAATTAGTAAACCTAATAAGGTTTTTTTAAACCAATACAGTGCACAAACAACATTGCTGTTTGTTCTTGAACATGAGTCTCAGAAATGTAGGAACACTAAGATAAATTATACTAAGGGTGACAAATCTGAACTAATTAAATAATAAGAAAGAAAAAGAAACACCACTATAATTGAAACACAGATTCTAAAAAGTACAGTGTTCCAATGGTTTCTCACAGTTCCAGATTGCTAACATTATAAATTAAGGGTGAAAGATATCCATGTATAAACAAGGCAGCTTTCCACTGATTCTATACTGTTCTTGTCTAAACCTTTGGATATTTCAATCTTCAAATCCCACAAAGTAAGGTTGAATTTGCCAGTTACAAAAAGAGTGTCGGTTCATGATGTGGCATTTGAAAAAAATGCATCTAGATATTTACAGGATGCATAGAACGACTTTTTTGCAAATGTTTTTTAATCCACACACCTTTTCATTTCACCTTCTGCAGATTTGTAAACAACATGCTATTCATTCAGACTGTGGCCTTAGGTTATGGTGCGTGGTCTTTTGGGAGGAGGTGGGGGCATGAGTTCAGCGTCAGGATCCAGGTGATGTTTTTGCGTCTGTCCTTGAGAAGCTGCTGTACACCTATCAATGAACTCAAACAACATTTCCTTTGTGACTGGATTTTGGATGCTGTTACATACAGCTGGGAACAAAGAACACATTTTGACGTTATTAAACTGATTGGCTGCATGCAACACTTGAACAATTTGATCCTGTATTTGCAAAATAAATGACAGTATTTGGCACAAATGTTCAGTTTTGAACATATATTTTATAGAACTTTTGTGTTAGGGATGAAATTACTCTACTTTGCTCACACACAGCTGAGGACTACAGAGAATAAAGAACTGCTGTCCCAACAGGCACCAGTCTAGCCTTCTAGTCAAGAGAATAAATCTTTGTCAAAAAGTAAAATTAAATTCAATATAAATGTCAGGAATTAGCACATTACTTAGGCAAGTAGTAGCAACAAAGCTCTTGTGCAATGTGTCTTCTGGCTCTGAAGCTCTACCTAAGTCGTAACCAGTAGGAATACATGATTTTATCCCTTTTGACAAACTGGGAACTGAAATGCCTAAGTCTTTGGATTTTTCACCAAATATCAAACAATTTAGACAATTTATGAAAAGGCTTGATTCTGAACTGAGTATCTTTTTATCATTTTGCCTGTGCAACCTGGTCTCGTCTGATGAAATATGGTACTTAGGAAAAAAGGCTAGAAGCAAGATATATTGATTTAAGGTGGAATTCCATGACTACC